TCATTGCCTTCTAGTCTTTTTCCATATTGAGCTGCGAAACAGTTCGATAGCCATTCTTATAGAAAATTTTCTCAGCTACAACTTTGCTGAAGATCGTTTGTATGTAAAACGAGACAGGAAAAAGTTATTAATTATTTAATAGATTGGTAAACTTATGGCATGATCAAGCAGCAGCTCTGTAGGCAACACTGTATTTTGCAGTGTGACATAGTAGCCATGATTTTTGTGTCCTATAGAGTTCTCCAGATGCGCAAGAGTGTGCGTGAGACCGCGCGCTACCTTTTTAAGTAGTTGTGATATCACGATACCTTTTTGGTTCTTCTTCTTCTTCATTTTTATATATGGATGTTGGATTTTAGTGTTCGTGAGATTGCGCTTGGAGATCTCTATTCAACGCCCCAGAAACACCAATGTTGCCTGCTGAGCAGCTGATTGAGCATGATCATAAGACATCGGCGCATTGAACCATTGATAACTTTCGATCCTTGCATTTAATCAAAAAGTGGTCTTGAACAAAGTTGTAGCTGGGAAAATTTCCTACAAGTACAGTTGAAAGTTTTCGAAGCAGACCGATATGGTGAATTATTAGATAGACATGAACAAAAATCTTGGTTTTACCATAGTAATTCCCATACAAACTTCAAATGGCTTGTGCCATCTCAGTTTTTCACCAAATGGGTTCAAATTTTGAAAGGTTAGTCAAGATCCGATTTGGAATCGTTTAAGTATTGTGGAGCGAAAATTTCAAATTTTGCATCACTCTAATGGGTATGCCACTAGTGCTCTAGTCTTTGGCCCTAACGGAATTTTAAAATAAATGTTAATGGTTTTATTTAAGCTTGCAAATGCTCATTTCTGCTAAAATACATTTTTTTCGGAAGCAACAAACTTTACATCCTCTTATTGCATCTTAAAAACACAAATGATTGTTGTAATATCTCATTATTTCATAATTAAAAAAAAAAGTATTTTAGCTAAAATGATCTTTTGCAAGCTTGGTTTTATTTGCGTCATGGCAAAATCTATAATCTACCCTTACCAGTGCTGGTAAAAATCATTCCTTCTATACTCAACATAGCTGAAAATGAAGACAACCTTAACAGATAGCCCAACTACCTGCGTGAATTTGAATTTTGCCATGATAACATTCTCTTGATCAAGGCAACCGCTGAGTTTCGAAGTCACCTGTTCTGTTGTCATATAAATATTTATAGTCATCTTGGTGGTTCCGTGAAAAACTGTTGAATACCCACAATATGGGTATTTTCGAAACGGGGACGTCGCGTAGAGGATAGAAATCGTTTATTGACACCATTTTGGGATCAATATGGCGACTTTCGGTTTAAAGAGAGAGAGAGAAGGATTAGTAATTTCCATTTAATTCCACTACCTTATTTGCTTATCCTTGACAGATACGCGTATTTCGTCTACAATGTGCAGACTTCTTCAGTGTCTTGTACTAATACTCGACTAATACTTCCGGTTTGTGAAAAACTATCAACTACCTTACAATGTAGGCATTTTCTGAACGGGAACGACTTGTAGAGGCCGGAAATCGATGGTTGACGCCATTTTAGAATCCAAGATGGCAACTACCGGTTTATGATGAAATTTCGAATATCCTTCAATATGGCATTTTCGGAACGGGGACGAAGGGTAGAGACCGAAAATCGATTATTGGCGCCATTTTGGGATCCAAATTAATTTTAGAACTATTTTTTTTTTCAGGATCATAAAAGTTCTTCAAATCTCTGGAATAATTTGTTTTGTTATGATTTACAGAATCAAATATTTAGCTAAGCTTTTAAGGCCTTGAATTCTTGAAATTTTAAACCTGGAAAATTAACAGAATTCAGTATTATTTTCAGGATTGTTGAATTTTTAAGATCTTGAACATTGAGAAATTTTCAACAACCCGGACACATAAACAGAACCGAAGAGAGATATTAGAACTTGATTTCGTTTTCAGGAGCTCATGTTTTCCTTAAGTTTGAATCTAAATCTTGAATCTATAAAAAAAATAAATGCTTTGACATAAAAATATGCGAAATCTAAAAAATCAAGGACCACATTTTTTCAAAATGAAATGAAATTTTTCAATCTTCCTGCCATCTTTGCAGCCCGGCATGGACCATTTACATTCATTTCGTGCATTTATTTACATTTATTTGCCTCTTCATTTTTTTTAATCAATAGAATTCCGTAATTCCGGTGTTTAAAGCTTTTGTAGGTTTTGATATTAGCTACAACTTTTGTAAATAACTCAAATCCATATTTCTTATGCATGACGAACTAGAGCGGGCATAACTTGTTATTGTTTTTCGATGATGTGCTGTGAGGAGCTCAGTGGCCTTAGAGTAACTGTTTTTGCGTACTGAGCAGAACATCATGGGTTTAATCTCCCCCCCCCTAACCAGTGATTTATCGTGGAAGACGTGCAGAGGATTGCTCAGCTTCCAACAAATCGAGTAGCACGTCAACCCATTCCTACCCATCATGGGAAAAAACAATGTAATTGAAAATGTGGCACAAGAGGCACTAGGATGTCGATCGACATTTGGATTGAATTTGTTTTACTATAATCAAAAAGATCTCCGATTAGCCACAAGCGTAACCTTTGAATACTTGCGCCATTGTACAAAGTACAACACGAGAATAAAAATAAAAATTTACTGTACTTTGTAAACTCGCTCAACGACAAACTAAATATGTTGCATGATAATTAATATCCATGCCCAATAGACCAACACTTGAAGAACATTTTGGAGAATATCAGGTTTCATGAAGTGACCTCAAGATGAAAATAACATACTGTTGCAGTTTGGCACAACGCGCAAATGCTCGTGTTACAAAAGTTGGCGCGAGTACTGAAAGGTTAAAGCGAATTGCCGGCCGTAAAGCATACTATGTATGAGCGAGATCGATTCCTGTTTCCTGTTTGAGTTGAACATTTTCTCGACTTCTTTGGACTTGCCACACACTATGCAAATCTTCTGTTTGAAATGCAAGGGACGTCCATTTCGAAACATTAAAAAAATAAAAATAAAAGCAATTTTTTCGTTCAAAACTGAAATTCTGTTCATGAAAATGTATTCACAGTTTCCCACTTTCAAAGCGAACACAGTGAATACATTTACGTGAACAACATTTTGGATTTTAACAAAAAACTGCTTTTCCATCCTTGAAATAAGTTCCAGTAGCATCGTGTTAATCCAGTTAGAAAAAGAAGAAGAAAAAGCAAGAGTTTGTATCCAAGACTCGACCGTAGATTTGACGTAGGATTACGTGCTCGGTATCAGTATTTGGCGACTATGTCAAGGAAACCACTTTTTGCAGGCAATCGGTGATAATTTTGAACACCATAGGCTCTTTTCATGCACCATCAATGTAGAGTGCGCTAGCCGATTTTGAGAGGAAATGTCATCCAATCTATTTGTTTACATCATAATGACTATTTTTAAAACTCAAAACAATGTACATTTTATTGCATAACTTGCAAATTTCCATCGGGAGGGGTCTTATTTTATTATTTTTTACATATTTGAACAGATGTACAGCTTAAATAACACCACGTAAAAAAAACGGAAGATGATAACCGCTGGGGCAATTTTATAAATCTTCACTTTTCTTAACAAAAATGTGGAAGCACCAGCCAGATCACTGCAAAATTGATACAGAAAACAAAATATTCCATGTGTATGATGGTTTCAAGCACCTGCGATGGATAAATTAATCAGAAAAGGTAAAAATATTTTCCTCTTCCTATGCTTCATGGCGAAAATGTCAACCCTCATCACTCTTTTGATGGTTCTCCTATTCACCACCAGAAACGATAGCTTAGTTTCTACTGGATTCGCCTATTGCTACAGTTGGACATTTGTGTAATTTTCAATAGTGACCTTTTGAAAGTTGATTAAGTATTCATTTTAGCAGCTTCGTAGGAAAAAATATCAAACGATTGGCTTGTTTAGGATTAAAATCCATCCGCTATTGACGGAGTTATAAGTGGTCAAAACCTTACCACTTTTCGTAACGCGGTTGATTTTGGTTTTTTGAAATTACACCCCCAATATTTTGCCGAATGGCGTAATCCTACATCAAAAATCCAACCGACTTGATCCAACTTTCCATCTTGGCATTAAACTTTCAACAGTAGGTAAGTTTCGGCGTTTTATTGCTATTATAATCACATCAGCCGGTGTGTAGAGTGAAAAGCAAGCAAAAGAAACCACACTTGTCAAAACAACGTCATAAAATCATCCAAGTACACAGTACGCGTCAGTAATCTAATGAGACTGCGTTACTCCATCTAAAATTCCGAGAAAACTTATTTGCAATACATCTTTAAACTGTGAAATAACAGTTACTTTTCAATGGCTGTCAAAACTGAAGAACTGTTCCATGACGTGTCTATCGTAAATTATGCCATTAGTTGAAACTAATTGTATTGCTAGCTAATCTCTACGCCATCTAACTGTTTTAGATTTGGAGTCACCGTGCTACCGGCAAGCGTCCACTAATATGTCGAAGCTGCTCACTTATCTGAACCAGACACCCAACTGATGGATTACCTAACACTTTAACTACCTGATCACTGATCTTACTCAATTTAAGTAATATTGTTCCCTCGCTCTGGCCTCGTCTGAGTCTGAGCTGAGTGGAAATCTCCTAGCAACACTCCTTAAATAGAACGCGTGTACACGCGCAACCGAATCTTTAAGAAGTCAAACACCGTGAAAGGGGAGACGAAAAGACCTTGGCTTCGACTTATGTGCCAAATTATCTCTCCACACTGCTAGCGACTGCTATTGAATGCTAATCAGCTCCGCCATCCATCCGCTCGAGTCGTTGGAGATTAATTCTTTCGATTTTTTTTTGTGTTCTGCACACGTTCGCTTGACTTATCTGGACCTACCCTATATCAACGGGTCGACGCGTTGATTTTGGCAAAACAAGTTTTAACATTTTAAACTAAAAGCGTGTTTCTTCCTTCGCAACAGGTTGGATGAAGTGAGACGTCGTCGCCAGGATGAAACCGTTGCTCCATCAGTGCTGTGCTGTGATATTAGTCCTACTAACGCTGGGATGTGATCCAACTCGATCGTACAAAATTTTAGGCCTGTTCCCGCACCCGGGCGCCAGCCATTTCCAATTCTTCGAGCCGGTTCTCAAAGGATTGGCGGCGGCCGGGCACGAGGTAACGGTCGTGAGCCACTTCCCGAACGCCAACCCACCGCCCAACTATACGGACATCCCACTGGAGGGCATGAAGTCGCTATCGAACTCGGTTAGCTTTGAGGTGAGTGACGGACATGTAATACAATACCTTGCAGTGGAACACGATATTTGGCGAATTTGACCTTTGGATAGGATTGCAAAAAAATTGGTTAGAATAGTTTACATTACTTGAGTGGTTTAGAGTGATTGCTAGACAAAAAAAAAATAACGAACCTCTCAATCATCGAATGATTTTAATCGATCAATGTCTTGTAGTAAATTATCGGCACGGTGGATTTTTTTTTGCCCTGAATTCATTGGAATTTTACATTTCCTTTCAAGATTTTATGTGTTTATGATACCATCTCTTTTTGTGATTCTAATTGATAATAGTTAACTCAAATCCAGCAAAAAAAAAAACGGATTTCATTGGTTTCAACATAAACAAACAAATAAAACATATCCTGCTTCAGACCAATAACTTGATTTTATTCGTAAATATTTTAATTGATTTTATAATCCGACCCTTAACAACACATTATTCCGAGCTACGTGAAAAGCATTCTAATACCCCGTACAGACTATGGCTTATATCATGTAATATAGGCTGTCTTGCAATGAGCACTCATACATCTAGTTTACACTGGAAATCCTATGTATGAGTGCTCATTGCAAGACAGCCTATATTAAATGATATAAGCCATAGTCTGTATGGGGTATAACGTTTTTTAACACACTACATCACGTTCTCAAAAGACAGTGATCTAATGAATCAGCGCAATCTAATCTATGCCATATGACATACATATTAATAATCACCAGTAATGCGCACAGCATTAGTGATTGAAACTGCCAGTAAGTTTCCCGTAGGATTGAGTGACAGATGACTAAATTGGTCCTATTGGACAACTATTTGAAGCTTTATTAACATTTAGTTGATCTTCCATTGAAATATTGAGATTGTTTAGAAGTGGATATTGTAGTAGATATAAGTCTCATGTTTTGGTATTGTTAAGTTAACTTGTTTTCTTTAGGTTTTGATTAGCTTAATGCTAACAAAACTGTCCAATCGAAATATAAATAGGGGAAATGATGGCTTCGGCATGCCAGACTATTTTCGGCAACCCAGATTGAAACACTATTTTCACTAGATTTTCTTACGAAAACACTTCACTGAATGCATGCAAACGATTCTTTGTGCTTTCAGCTTCAATTTGACTATATTTTTACCACTGAGAAAAAGCAATCTAGCAAGGTTTTCTTGAAATGAAACACACGCACTACAAATTGTAGCTGATTTCGAGTTGCCGATAATAGAACAGCAGATTTACATGCAGTTCAAATGGAACGGTTGCCGAAGAAAAACTGGTTGCCGACAATACTCGCTCTCACTAGAGAAGATTGGAGCTTTGTAAAAGTGTTTCAAAACAGTTTTTGACAATTCTTTCGACTGAAATTGTTAGAGCAGCTGGCAGCAAAAGATTGTAAACAAACCAATACCGCATATGTGTGCGTTCCATAGAGAAAAAGGCTATAGAAAGAAGATCGCTGCTTAGGTTGCCGAGAATACGTAAATTCCCCTACATAAAGATATATTTAGTTTTGCAAATAACTTTTAAATATTAAATTTCTTCAGCCTTCATTTAGCATTTCAATATTCACATCGAAACCTGTTGATCCACTTTTAAAGGGTGATGCGGTCAAAATTTGGTCAATATCAACTTGACGTATTTCTTTCAATTTTGCATTTAAAAAACCTGAACACCCCTCATTTTGAAGGTGTGTGTGTGTGTAGAATGTTGCTCCTATTTTGATTTTGGAATTCACTCTTCAGTTGTCAAAATGCCGTCCAAGCAAGAAGAGCAGCGTATCAAAATTTTGCTCGCGCATCGCGAAAATCCGAGCTACTCGCACGCAAAGTTGGCAAAATCGCTAAAAGTTGCCAAATCAACCGTTACAAATGTAATTAAAGTGTTTGGGGAACGTTTGTCGACAGCCAGGAAGTCTGGATCGGGGGGAAATCGAAAACCGGAAGCCGCAAAGACGACAAAGAGAGTTGCCGGTAGTTTCAAGCGAAACTCTAACCTCTCTCTCCGAGATGCCGCAAATAAGCTGGGTGTATCGTCTACAACCGTGCATCGAGCCAAAAAACGAGCCGGACTATCGACTTACAAGAAGGTAGTGACTCCAAATCGCGATGATAAACAAAATACGACGGCTGAAGCGCGATCCCGGAGGCTGTACACGACGATGCTGACGAAGTTTGACTGCGTGGTAATGGACGACGAAACCTACGTCAAAGCCGACTACAAGCTTCCGGGACAGGAGTTTTATACGGCAAAAGGAAGGGGAAAGGTAGCAGATGTTTTCAAGCACATGAAACTGTCAAAGTTCGCAAAGAAATATCTGGTTTGGCAAGCCATCTGTACCTGTGGCTTGAAAAGCAGCATTTTCATAGCTTCCGGGACTGTCAACCAAGAAATTTACGTGAAAGAGTGTTTGAATAAACGTCTGCTGCCTTTCCTGAAGAAACACGGTTGTTCCGTACTGTTTTGGCCGGATTTGGCATCTTGCCATTACGGTAAAAAGGCCATGGAGTGGTACGCCGCCAACAACGTGCAGGTGGTTCCCAAGGACAAGAACCCTCCCAACACGCCAGAGCTCCGCCCAATTGAGAAATACTGGGCTATTGTCAAGCGGAACCTAAAGAAGACCAAAAAAACTGCTAAGGGCGAGCAGCAGTTCAAGGCAAACTGGCTTTCTGCGGCGAAGAAGGTGGACAAGGTGGCTGTACAAAATCTGATGGCAGGGGCGTAAGGCCCGGCAATTCGGATTTGGAAAAGCGGAATCCTAACTGAATATTTTTCCTGAATTTTATACTAATTGAACTTGAAAAAGAAATTTAATTTGATTTTTTAAATAAACGATTTCACCGATTTACACGCGTTTTCCCTTGACCAAATTTTGACCGTATCACCCTTTAGTTTGATAAAGGAGATTCTTATCTAGTGTCCAAAACGTCAAATACTACAGGGAAAGGTTTTGCAGCTGAGATAATAACGAAAGAGAAAATCGATGAAGAGAATCGATCAATGCAGATAGGACCATTTGAAATGTTCATCGAATATTTCTTCTTTGGCAACATGGCACAGTACTCGCTGACCATTTGAATGTCACTGGCCAATCCAACACTGTTGTTATCATTCTCTGGAGGGGGTCGGTCGATTCCAAGAATTGTTAAAGCATACAGAGGATCACTAACTGGTTGTTTCATGTTCTTATAACATCTAAAATGGAAATATATTCTTTATCAACACGTACCGTTTGGGATTGTAGTCCTTCAACCTTTCATTTTCATTTTCTCCAACATTAGATCCTGCTACACCTTCCGTTGGATCGTGATGTAGGTCCGGTACCTTCTTTCTTCTTTTTGAATCCTTGAATTTTCAGCAGCTTCCGAATGACGGTAGTTCACTCAATGTTGGTGGAAGCTGCAAATTCCTTATTATTTTTTGCTTCCAACAGGCAAAATAAACAATATTTCGGTTCCTCGTTCACAAGTAAAAGTTACTTTCACTAGGGATCGATCCGAGCTTCAATCGTCTACTTGAACCCCCATGACAAGTTTTTCGGTTTGGAGTTGGAAAACCACCGGCTTGCTGGGATTAGGATACAAATGGCCATGCAATTTTGTAGAGCAAAACAAAAACAACAACGAGTACCGTGTTATGATTATTTGTGTCGGGGACATTAGGTCACACATACAGTCACTGTTAATAAGCAGTGCTTCAATGTTCCAGAGGCGCTGTTCAATGATTATCAGTGACGTTCGACATTTGTATGGGAGAAGGGAACAGTTGTCAGTCTTCTTGATTTGTAGTCTTCGATTTTATGTCAGAGGAATCTCATTTTGCTAATTAGTTAATAACTAACTAATCTGACGTTCAATCCAAATGCGCTCTTGAGCAAAGTTTCAGCTGAAAAAAATTACATTAGTACAGATAGCAAAATTTTTCGTTGATCATTACCATAGAGGTAACTCTAAGACTAGCAGATCCCGTAGAAACGTGTTCAACTTTTTGGCTCAGCTCTGGTACCATCTTCGGTCCCAAGCTAATCGATGCACCCCACGAAACATATGAAAATCCACGAACCCCTCATTTTATCTGTCAAACTTTCATAGCGAATCAAAACAAACATAGTGTAGTACTGGAATTTATACTAGAATGGGGTACGTAAATCGATTTGCTTGGGACCAATAGGCTAGTCAAGTAGTGAGCCAATTTAAAATCGTTAGATTCCACCGGTTGTCATTACAACGAAGAGCTAGAACGATGAAAACAAAAGCTCGAATTTTTTGTCTAATAGTAATTCCCATATAACCTGCACAGGGCCAGTGCAGTATGAGGGTAATGTGCTCAAATTTTGGAAGAATTACCTGGTCCTGAATTGAAATCAATTAAGTTTAGTGGAACACTCTATTACATATATTAGTCAAATGAGCGGTTCAAAATTGTAATTCAAATGAAGTAATCATGCAAACCAATATATAGCAATTATTTCCTATTTCCCCACGCACCACAAGTAATTTTTTGTTGTTGTTTATTAATTTATTTGATAAGGCACAACCAAATTAACTTTACAGAGCCGAGGATTCTTGGTCACTATATAATACATCTTAAAACTATAGTCAAAAGGTACAACACAATAAACACTTTATCTTCCGCTATCCAAAAAGCCTCCTCCATCAGAACTGGAGCCGCTTCCAGTTTTTTCATTGTATGGCAAATTGTTGTACGCCAACGAGGGTCAGAGCGCGTCCATTGCAGCAATGGACGCAAAACGTGGTCAGCACTCACACACTCATCACTAAACGGTTGCTTTCCAAAGTCGACGACGCATCGACCGAAAGAACTGCTGATGAAGAACAATGAGGAGGACCACACAATGGTTGCTGCCGAGAAAACAGACGATCGAGTAGCACACATCGAGAGTGGCCTGCTTTTGTCGACAGCCGAGTGAACACTGCACCACAAGTAATGATCTCCCCAATTATTAACTCTCTCTCTCTCTCTTCTAGCTCTTCGAGTACCGGCCGGCCTTTTCGCACTTTATGGAATTCTTCATGCTGTACGACTGGGGCAAGCAAGCCTGTGATAATGCACTGAACTCGGCCGCCATCAAGCAGGTGCTGGAATCCAAAGTCCAATACGATCTGGTACTGGTGGAACAGTTCAACAACGATTGTATGCTCGGTGTGGTCCATATGCTGAATGCCCCCTTCATCGGGTTGAGCAGTTGTCCGTTGATGCCGTGGCATTACGATCGGGTCGGTAACCCGATCAATCCATCCTACATCCCGTCGCTGTTCATGGGCTACTCGGAGAAGATGACCTTCTCCCAGCGAACGGCCAACTTCATCACGGCCTATGCCTTCAAGTTCATGTACAGTTGGTTCAACGACAATGCCGCTAATGCCATGCTGAGACAACGCTTCGGAGACAGCATGCCGGATATTAAGGACCTGCAGAAGCGAACCAGTATGATGTTCGTCAATCAGCACTACTCGTTGAGCGGACCCAAACCTCTGACGCCGGCTGTGGCCGAAATTGGAGGAGTTCACATTCAGGATTTCAAAGAACTTGACCCCGAACTGAAGCAGCTACTCGATACAGCCGATCATGGTGTGATCTACATCAGCTGGGGTTCCATGATTCGGGCGGAAACGCTTCCGGATGACAAACGAAATGCACTCCTCAGTGCACTGGGCTCGCTCAAGCAACGAGTCATCTGGAAGTGGGAGAACGAAACCCTACCGAATCAGCCGTCCAACGTGTACATAAGGAAGTGGCTGCCACAGAAGGAAATTCTATGTAAGTATAGCACACGACCGACATTTGCATACATATGGTCTGAAATTGACTGCAATTTTAGTAATGTATACCTGTCTTACTAATTCCTACTTCTGCATTTAGACAACACAATGACTTCAAGAGCAAATTTTCATTACGTCGAATGTAACAAAGGTAAACAAAGTCGAGCTATCAGTGTCAATCGATGCTCCTGCTATTACACTATATACTGTCCAAATATAGGATCACATCCCATTTTTAAACTTATTTACCAGTCGAATTGCTTTTTGACGTAATCACCTTCCGATCAAAATAGTTTTCGATGTTACTTAAGTCACCCAATTTCTATGGAGATGCCGTTTGCCTTAAGTAACAGCACTGAGAAACCCGTGAAAAGTGTACTTTCGTCGTTTCGCTTTCTCATTATTAAAGTGAATAAATCGAACTGTTTGTTGCTAAGATGATTTCGGTGGTCCTAAAATGATGAATGGGCTTCACGTAAGGAGACGTAATTGATAATTCTCCCGAATATCCTGGTAAATACACTTTGACTTAAGTAACAATAGGGGCCACCAAACGACGCATAATAACTTTTGACTCAAAAACCAGTATTTCTTAGCATGAAAGCTAGCGATTTGCCTTTGTATGATTAAAACCCGGCTGAATATGTTAAACATTGCTATCACTATGAGGTTATATGTGTTTAATTGGAAATAGGAATAACTTTTCGGTCATCAAAACAAAACTTTATTCTTCTCGGATCGGTGCGAATGTTACTTACGACATAATGAAAATTTGCTCTTGACTTGTTACCGCATCTATGCATAGGGGAAAGTGGGGTATTGTGGTCACTCGCTCAACAACCAACTTATTGAACAAATTATATAAAAAAAATCTTATGCTGGCTAATGCTTGAAGCCTACTTGAACTATCCATTTAATTTTAGCCTAAAAAAATACTTTTCTCTAGTGCCAATATTCTAAAAAAAATAGACTAGTCAAAATGTCAAAAATGTTATAAGATTTCTGAATCAGAAAATATTGTCTATTAGTAGTTTCTTATATAATATTCCTTCAGTAGCTATATTAATGGTTTTTGGTTTCTTATATGTTTTTCTAGTTTTTAATAAACATTAAAGTTTTTCTTAACAAAATATTGCTTCTAAGGTCACCTGGGGCAATATGTGCCCCACTGATATTTCGAACATTTTCTACTTAAATTTTTCAATTTTACATTATTCCTTTTATTAATATGACTGTATCATTCACAAGTCTGAAAAATATAACCCGAAATAGGCAGTACATTTTAAATTTAATTTATTCTACAGAAAATCATTGTTTCTTTTAAATCTTTTTTGCTAAAACCGTTAATTGCTGACCCTTCTTAAATCCTCATGAAAACAGAATAGTCTTACCGGTTGTTTACTAGGGCGATAGGTTTTATTTCGGTTACAAAACGATCTTTAACATCATCATTATGTATTAATAATGTAAATAGGGCTTGAGACTATCAAATTGGTTAAAATTCATTCGAATTTTCCACTGAATTTGGTATCATTAGTAATGATATTCGTAAGGTGGCCATACTGCTCCACTTTCCCCTAATGCCAAAAATTGTGTATTTTTCCGTCACTTCAGTAGACACTAACCGGCGGCGCCGCATTTTTTTTCTGTTTCATGTCTATTACCGTCAGTCTCAAAATTAGATCGCACGGTTACCAAGCGTGGTACGAAAAAAACGACCCATTCTGTTGTACATAGTGCGACGTTCACAATGTTGGGTTAGGTCATTAATATCGTGCGCAACTGTTGAATGCCAAAGTCCAGTGTGAGAAGAAATCAGACAAAAAAATCCAACTGCGGTAGCATTTTTTCGGTTTCGCCAAGAAGCCGCTGCTTTTTATAAACAGTAACGGAATGCTTGACAACGCGGTCGTTAGGCAGCAGCCGAGCGAAGATTTATTGATATTAATTGGAAGATTGTGTATGGAAGAGCTTGCTGTTATATATAATTAGGCCTTCAGAACACGTTCCATTTCTATGGGTGACAAAATTTGATTGTTAATTAGGGTTGTTAGGTGTGACAAGAATTTTGATCATGGTTGAAAACTTTTAATTATTATTATTATTATTAGACAGCTATATATGGTTTTTATTATGGTTTAATCTGATCGTATAATTTACATGGTTTACAATTATCTGCTGTCATTTTGCTCTAACTTTTAAATCTTATTCCATTCACGTGATCAGCGTGAATCAGGCAGCATTAGCAGCCATGCTCTACAAAGTGCCATAATAGTAGAATGAGAAAGTTTTTGAAGCTTGAGATTTTTTTTTTATTTGGCGAATTTCTGGATATAATCCATTTTTATTCAGATTGAGTAGGGAGGCGTACCCGAGCAAAGCTGAAGATCAAATTGATATTATTTTTTTCTGTTATGGCGTAATTTATTTTGAATACTCCAATTGATCTTATTTTGGTAGACTTAACTTAACACAAAAAAAATGAGAGCAAAATTGTACACTGTTGAATCAAACGGAAAACTAATCCTGCTTTCAATGAAATCGATTTGATTACTGATTTTGCATTCACAGTGATTAACTGAATACGGGCCTGGCGTTAGCATCTATACTTCTCACGCTGAAGACTTCAGCCTAAATCTCCGTGACCCGGGCATGTCCCGCTTGACCTAAACAATAATCGTTAGTTCAACGACAGATGAACTTAAATTGAATTTTAAACAAGACGTTAACAGCAGAAGGCCGGCGCCGGTGGTGTAGTGGTAAGCGTGACTGCTTTCTAACACCCCGATGGGTCTGGGTTCAATCCCAGCCGAGGTCGGTGGGATTTTTCTGAGGCATAAAAATCTCTGGTCACGTCTTCCTTCGGAAGGGAAGTAAAGCCGTTGGTCCTGGCCCATGTGTATGTGTGTTAAATGGGTGCGATATCCTACGCAGGTGTGGAAGCTGCCTTCCTGCACATTCGATGTCCGTCGGTGATTGGCACTAGATTGCGGAACAGAGACCGACGTTAAATAAAGGAAAGAAGTTAACAGCAGAACTTCATGTTAAGTTGCTTTCATGTAAATAATAAAATAAATAAAAAATAAATTTTTATTATGATAGGATCTGCAAACTTTAATCACCGACTAACCGACGTGACAGCTCATACAAGCTACTTTCAAATTCGTGCCCAAGACGCCATATTTAAAATACGTTAAACACTACCGGCATCTACTCATCCGATCGCGTCATACCATAAGCAAGGACATGAACCCACGTATAATTTATATTGCCTTGGTTAGCGTCTCACCTCGTTTGACAGATCGATCGCCTGTTTGAAAGTTTGAATCGCTCGTTTGACAATTTGAATCGTGGACAAACGAAATGCTCCTGTGGCATGTCGGTTCGTCGGAGCTTTAATATCGATTTACTTTCATTTTGTTAACCGACTTTGCTCGCGAGTTTGCTCGGGCATCTGGCCCATTTTTATTGTCATCTCTCACTTTTTCCCTATGGAGTTATAACATAGAGGTAACTCTAAGGCTACACATCAAATTTAAATCGCTGAACATCAGCAAAATTTTGCTGATTTTAGACTTGATGAAAGATCATCAAACGTTCCAGCAAAATAATGCTGCTGAATTTTTCAGCAATTCCAACTTCTATCAAAATGACAACCTTGTACTGAAAATCAGCAATATTTCTTTCAGCAATTAAAAATTTTGACATTTGGCAGCATTTTGCTGATTAAACAATTAAATTCAGTAAATCGAATTTGTTTTCACTATATGAGCTTCCAGCTTCTGTAAATATACGAATAATAAAGATAAAATCACCAGACTCCTTTCCAAGTATCGTTTATTATATATAACCAGTGTCCGAGTCGTGTCCTTACCTACATAATTTTATCTATTTGTAGTTTTTTTTAGCCTCCTGCGCCTTGAATGGTGGTGTACGAATGCAAAAATACTTGCGACTGTGATGCTAACAGTTTGACAGCTCTTTTACTGGGTGTTAGTTTATGTTAGCTGATGTTATCAGTAAAACTATCATTTGCTGATTTTCAGTAAAGCATTGGATTACTGGTCATGATCCAGCAATCCGTTTTACTGATATTGAAAACTTAAATTTGGTGTGTAGGAACTCAATGCATGCCCACGTAAACCATCATAACCGTCGGGTAGGGGAAGTCGTCCCATACCCGATGGTGTTGTTGATTTGCGTTGGCGAGCCTTAACTTTCTAGAATTCAGCGGACTTTAAGTGTAAAAATTCATTGGTGTTGATTCAAATGTTAAGATTTACCTACTCTTTGCATATCTATAGTAAGCTATGATTCTAATCTATCAATTACTTTAAAGAAAAACAAATTTCAACAACTGAGTGAAAAGTTATTAACAAATGAGTAGTTGGTGTGTACAACTGTGCATTCCAAGCATGCTTGAGATCTCAATTTTGGCATTTGGATACATTGTGTTTCAGAGCATCTATTGACCAAATTTGAAGGCTCTAGCACTTTGTTTACGCCCCTAACGATAATAGGTTAAGTTATTGCCGAAGTCGACATTTTCCCTACATGGTTAAGGGCATAGCTTTATCGGAATCGAGAAAAGACATAACAACACAAAATCCCATTAACACACGTGAATCAGCTTCGGCTTTACTTCGTGAAGCAACTTTCCAACGATTTGGTCGTTTCCTTCTACCGGCCCAAGCGAGCTATATTGGAAAAGTTGTTTGTCATGAAAAAAAGGAAGAAGATTATATCATTATTGTTTTCCATTTCTGTTTATTGTTTCGATTTGGTCATTACTAGCAACAGTGGAAATTCGCGACAAAACAATCCAAATTTCACGGTCGCCAAATGTGAAAATGAATTGTCGCGGCGATTTCGCGGCAATATTTGAACGCACAAAAATCATTGTAACATTTTCTCCATTTAAACAATAATTTACCAAGAAATACTTAATACTGAATTCACTAGATTTGTAAAATTTAGTTGTCTCAAATTATGATTTTATTTCAAAGATCTAGTTGTGAATAATTTTTAAACTGCTCGAATGAAATTTAGACTTTGTCAAGTATTATTTATGTGACCTAATAACAGCTACATAAAAACAAATAGACCATCAACACTATGGTTTGGTGTCAATGTCTAAAAGTTGTCTCGTTGTTCTAGATAAAACATAAACCTAAACATTTTATTGCATTTCAAAGTTCGAGTGGCAGTAAACGTAATAAATTGATGAAAGTAACATTGATCCAAAAACCACAATGTCAACGGTTTTATTTATAATGAGAGAGTTGCTATACTAATATCAACATAAAACTTTAGTGCGATAATTTATTTGCTAGAGAAAGTTCTAAAGGGATTGATAGTTCCGCTAGAGTACGGCAGTGTGAAAATTTGAACAGATGTTCAAATTGAGCGATGCGACAATACTTATTAAACGCACACTCCCTTACATAACTCATACATTGATGGAAGATGGGATTTGAGATATGTCGAAACCCATCGAAATAGCCTTGTAATAACATACAACCACTCCCCCCCCCCCCCCCGTTCCTTCCCACTGGAATTGAACCCAGGTCCAATTATTAATTAAGAGCTTTCGATGCCTGTACCGTTTTTGCATTAGTATAATTGTGAACCGAAAAAAACCCTAGACCGGGACTGGGAATCCAACCCAGCCACCTCCAGCATGGTCTTGCTTTGTAGCTGCACCTTTACCGACTGAGCTAAGGGAGGCCCCATTCCACCTTGGTGTCCCTTTGCATAGTAAGAGAAAATTGTTCCCCTTTGTATAATAGAAGGTGAACATTTTTCATATGATATTTTCACCTTAGTGCCCCTTTGCATAGTTGGAAAAAAATCGAAGCCGCCATTTCGAAAGTTTTACAAGATTCAAAATGGCCGAAACTCTCCCTAACTCGATGGAACTCCAAGCTACTTGGACCACTCTACCCATACACCTTTCCCAAATTTACCTCCCTAACCCGATATCCTCCTTAACTCCATGGTCGCTTCAATATCGAATTAGGAAATAGTAACTGTATATTAAACTAATGAAAAATTTCAAATTTTCGCTCCACAGTGCTTAAACTGTTTCAAATTGGGTCCTGCCTCCCAAAATTTGAACTACTTTAGCAAGAAACTGACTTGACACAAACCATTTCAAGTTTATATGGGAATTACTGTGGGAAAACTTATGTTTTTGTTCATATCTATCAAACAATTCACCACATCACTATGCTTTTAAAAATTATAACAGTGATTGTAGCAAATTTTCTCAGCTACAACTTTGTTGAAAACCACTTTCAATCAAATGTAAGGAACAAAAGTTGTTAATGATTCAAGTCACTGATGTCTTATGATTATGCTCATTCAACTGTTCAGCAGGCAACATTGGTGTTTCTGGTGCGAAGAATTAGAGCACAAATATCATGGCTACTATGTCACACTGCAGAATACAGTGTTGCCCACAGAACAGCTGCTTGATCATGCCATAAGATTATCAATCTCTCAAACAATTAATAACAATTTAATTTGACATTTGGCTAAAAAACGATATTCCGCAAAGTTGTAGCTTAGAAAATTTCCCGTAAGAATAGTTATAGAATATGGAAAATGGGTAGAAGACAATGAACAAAAAGTTTGGTTTTCCCATAGTAATTTCCATGTAAACTTCGAATAGTTTGTTCCAAGTCAGTTTCTTACCAAATGAGTTTAAATTTTGGGAGGCTAATCAGGACCTGATTTGAAACCGTTTGAGCACTGTGGAGTGGAAATTTCAAATTTTGCATCAGTCTACTGTATATTCATTTGATGAAGATTTCCATTTGTAGAAGAATTTTTAATTTTGTATGGGAAGTGGAATAAAAAAAATCAAAAATGGCTCAAATTTGACCAAACCTTGAACTTAGATTGGTAATACCACGTAATACTATGCAGAACAACTTTGTCCAAGATCGCAAATCGATTTGACTTCTGGGAAAAAAGTTATTAGGTATTATTTTACTTTATGTCAAGTGTTCCGCGCATACCTACAGGCGTATATATGAGTTTGTAGGTATGTGCGGAGCACTTGGTCTAAAGTCAAATAATAATCAGCTTTCGACATTGTTCCACTTAGTGTATTTTATCTATATCCGAGGTTTGTGCAAAATTGAGCTGTTTTTGAATTTTTGACAGGTATGAGGAACAGCTTTGTTCTATTTCCCATACAAACTTTAGAGATCTCCCGCATATCCAGCTCTTACCTAAATTCGATCAAATTTTGCACAGCTGTGGCGAGTAGGGGGTTGTTAAGTTAACCCACCCTTGTGCTGATGGATGTGGGTGGCTTCAGAGCATCAGATGAGCGCATAGAGCGTTCATAGATCCACTCAAAATTGTGGATGGCTTCAGCCATTGTCGAAGAGTGAGATGAAAATTGGTCGCCAGAAATCAGGTCGAAAGTTGTTTTCCAGTTATTACTATATGTTACCATTAGACTGATGCAAAATTTGAAATTTCCGCTCCACAGTGCTCAAACGGTTCCAAATTGGGTCCTGATTAGCCTCCCAAAGTTTGAACTCATTTAGTGAGAAACTGGCTTGGCACAAACCATTTGAAGTTTATATGGGAATTACTATGAAGAAAGCATAATTTCAGTTCATATCTAATTCAAAATTCACCAGTTAACTCTACTTTAGAAAATGATAGCTGAGCTTGTTAAAAATTTTCCCAGCTACAACTTTGTTCAAGACCACTTTTCGATCAAATGTAAGAAACAAAAGTTATAAATGATTCATGTCAGTGATGTCTTATGATTATGCTCAATCAACTGTTCAGCAGGCAACATTGGTGTTTATGGCGCGTAGAATAGAGGACAAAAATAGTGGCTACTATGTCACACTGCAGAATACAGTGTTGCCCACAATACAGTTGCTTAATCTTGCCATAAGATTATCAATCTCTTAAACAATTAATAACTATTTAATATGACGGTTGGCTGAAATCTTCTGCAAAGTTGTAGCTGATAAAAATTCCCATAAGAATAGCAATAGACTTTGTTAACAATACAATATGTAAAAAGGGTAGAAGACAATGAACAAAAAAATTTGTTTTCCCATAGTAATTTCCATATCAACTTCAAATGGTTTGTGCCAAGTCAGTTTCTCACTAAATGAGTTTAAACTTTCGGAGGCTAATCAGGACCCGATTTGAAACCGTTCGAACACTGTGGAGCGAAAATTTCAAATTTTGTATCAGTCTAGTGACCATCATCAGCAAAAAGAAATCAAATAATTTTAAAACGTTCAATTTGGGCACAAACCTAGTGCAATTTTTCATCAATCCTTTAAATTTGTCGAACCTCTTAACGGAATCCCTTTATGAAGAGCTTTGAGTGGGTTGGTTTATTTCCTTTAAATTCCGTTATAATTGCTTATCTTTTGACAGATACGCGTATTTCGTCTACTACTTGCAGACTTCATCAGTGCCAAGTACTCAACACCTGGTACTGGTTTCGATTAGACAAACATAGGTTAGAACTAAATGTATGATTACGGACAATTCTGAAGTAAATAAGTCAAAAACTTGAATTCATAGGGAGAAGCACACGTTTACAATAAGCTGAAAAAATCCAATTTCTTAGAGTTTTCATAGACTTGAGCCCAACAATTCGGGTTTTCATACCGCATACCTCTACTATTAATTATTACAAATATGTATGATCATCTTGATTCTCCACCCATCTTCAGATGTTTGTTTTAAACTATAATGAGTATAGTATATACATGATTATTCAACGGAATTCATATTTTGAATTAGTCACGTCCGTTTAGTGAGTAATGGGCGTTATTTTCTCGTGACATACATACTAATTATTGCACGTATCTCCATCTTATTCCTATCACAGGTCATCCAAAGGTTCGTGTCTTCATGAGCCACGGTGGACTGCTAGGAAGTTCCGAAACTGCCTACTGTGGCGTTCCGGTGGTCGCCACTCCCATGTATGGAGATCAGGTATGATGGGAAATGACAAGAAGTCTATAATTGCATGCCTAATCTACGTCATTTACCTTTCCAGTACAATAACGCTGCCGCCCTGGCACACCGAGGAATGGGCGTCGTTCTGCCGTACGAACAAATCACCCGCGATACGGTGTTCGAATCGCTGAAGAAGGCCCTCGAGCCGGCTACGATGGAGAATGCCAAGCAGGTTTCATTCTCCTACCGTAACCGACCGATGAGCCCGGTCCAGACGGCGGTCTGGTGGTGCGAGCACGTGGTAGCCACCGGAGGCCTTCCGCTGGCCAAATCCTACTCAACCGAACTGCCGTGGTACGTGTACCATATGCTGGATGTGAACTTTGCTTTGCACGCGTTCAACTTTGTGTACCACCTGTGCTGGTTCTGGTTGATCAAGCGTATTTGTTGTCGGGGTGTTTCCGCTTTCAGTGAGCCGAAAGTCAAAACCAACTAGGGTAAAAACCCTTGTTCGAATATATCGAAACGTTGTAGACTGTAATATTAGTGTTAAGATAGCTGTCAAATGTACCTCTAATGCACATGTTCATTAAGAAAGATTAAGCAGAATATTTTTTTTTACCGTGTAAGTTTTCGGATTCAATAAAACAACGTTTCGTATTGTAGTCAACTATCACCGGTGTTATAAAAAAATTTATTAAAAAAAATATCTGTAGCTAGTGTACAAAAATCACCACATTTTAAAAATGCCACGACGGAACCAAAATAAATGGAAAAATACATGTTGCATTTCATCATCTTTTAATTTTTTACTGATATACTAACAACCAAAACTAGTTTACAGTTTTGCCCGGAGTTCCTCGATGCGGGAATTTGCACGCTTCTGCAGATCCACCAACTTCATGGCCAGGCCCATGTTGCCTTGCACTTTCACCTTACCCTGGAAGAAGGCCTTTTGCGGGTTCAACTTGCCGGAAATTAGATCCACCACATCGATGTCGTTGATGATGAAGGTTACGTCGGGTTTATCTAAAAAATAATAATACGATAACAGTCGAAATGTGGTTTGTTCAAACAGTGTATCCTTACCCGTTCCCTTGTAGGTAACCAAGCCCTTTCCGGTCTTGGCATTGATGACCCAGTATCCCTCAGCTCCATCGGGTCCGTTGGTGACCTTGAAGCCGTAGATGCCACGCACCTTCTCGATCAAGTTTTCCTTATCATCAGCCATCGCCTCCTCCAGTAGTTTCATGTACGGCGCGACTAGGAAACCTTCAGGCGTATCCTTGATCTTACCCGCCGCCGTCAAATTCATGTTGATTGGATTTTTGGCGTACGGGAAACCTAGTCGATACAGACCTACTACAGCAGCACCACCCAGCCCAATGTTGTGTTGCAGGGCCAATTTGGCTCCCTTAACCTGTCGCTTATCGGCCTGGCCTCGCAGTTGCCAGCATAGTTCGCTACACTGGGCCAGCCCAGTAGCACCCAGAGGATGTCCCTTGGAAATCAACCCCCCACTTGGATTGACAACAACACGACCTCCATAGGTATTGTCCCCGCGGTCGATGAATTCCGCAGCTTTGCCCGGTTGGCACAGACCAAGGGCCTCATAAGTGATCAACTCGTTCGCAGAGAAGCAATCATGCAATTCCACCACATCAACGTCCAGTGGTTTGTAGTTCGTCTTGGCAAAGACCTTCTCGGCTGCGTTACGGGTCATGTCGTAACCAACAATCTTCATTGCACTTCCCTCCTAAAATTATCAGATTGTTGAATTGCACGTTCCCTAAACAAGAATCTAGAGAAAACTTACACCGAATGACGACGGCAGATCGGTCGACATTTCCATAGCAACAATCTCCACAGCTTGCGACTCCAAACCGTGCCGTTTCACGAAACTTTCTGAAGCGACGATACAGCACGCGGATCCGTCACTCGTGGGACAGCACTGTAGCTTCGTGAGGAATTCATGCACCTGTGTCGACTTGACGATCTGGTCGAACGAATACTCATCTTGGAACTGCGAATAGCTGCAAGAAACATAATGTACGCCTAAATGTAGGCAACCACAGCGCCACCGATCTAGACCGAAAACCTTAAATGAATACCACTTACGGGTTGTTGGTGGAATGTTTGTGATTTTTGTAAGCAATCTTGGCGAAATGTTCCGGCTTTGTACCGTACTTCTTCATATGTTCCACTCCGGCATTGCCGAACAACTGTGCCGAGATGGGAGCCCCCGTAATGTCATGCTTCTCCGCCATGGCAGTCACCAACAGCTCAACGGGATTGGTACGATCCATATACTTGGACGTCAGCGAACCGCGCTCCATCTTCTCGAACCCAAGCGCTAAGACACAATCGTTGTTTCCGGTTTCGATCAGCTGCTTGGCCAACAGCAGAGCTGTCGAACCCGTCGAGCAGTTGTTGTTGACGTTGTAGATCGGAATACCGGTGAATCCGATCTCGTACAGCGCGCGCTGTCCGCAGGTCGAATCCCCGTACACGTAACCGACGGTGGCCTGCTGGACGTCCTGGTACTGGATCCGGGCATCCTTCAGTGCCTTCGTGACGGCTTCCTTGGCCATCTGTGGATAGTCAAAGTTCTCCCGGCGGCCGGGTTTCTCGAACTTTGGATTTTAGGAATCAACATAGTGAGAGCGGTTCAAAATCGGGTCAAAACAAGCTTGGCCTGATAAGACAGAAATAGCAAATCATCGCAGATAAAGCCGTCGAATGGATGAAAGTTCAAGCGCTTTATCTTGGAGGATGGTTATAAAAAGTGATGAATTTAATTGTTTGTGCAGCGGTGATATGGCGTATGATATCTGTACTAGGCGGAGAAAATGGCTCAGTCATGAAGCCTTTGGTTTGTTTTTTGGTTGAAAGCAAGATTAAAAGTTAAAGGCACCTGACATATTTGCTGGATTTCAAACCATTCACTTCAGAAGCTATTTTTGTTATTCAAGAGTCGTCAAAGAAAGATCAATAGACAAACTGATTTCAAACTCGCTTGTTATTCACCGAACACACATTTAACGATTAATTTAAACGCCGGTAAAAAAAGTTTGATGTCTAGAAATTTTTAGTAATTTGAAATATTATTTCTTTGGATTTACAGATTGATTGTTGTAAATCGACAATTCCAGAATTCAACATGGGTTTCATTGTCAAAACATGTTTATTTATCTCTATTACTGTGACAAGCATCGTAGACCCCGTAGACATAGTCCAGAGAACTATTCTTGGCCTCTAGGACAAGTCTAAACGAACTCCACGGTTTTGGATCTAGTAAAAACTGAGAGGATTCCAAGCAAGCTCATAGGATCTTCCGGACAAATCTATGAATTTCCATGGCTGTTAACCCTAATAAAAATTGTATGGTTAATTTGCTTAACGACGTGTTCTGGGTATCATCCAAACCATTTGTGGAATAGTTCAATGATTTGGGTTATCGTTCGTTTATGGTTATTTTTTATTAGGGATGGGAGAAGTCAGAAGGCTTACAGTGCTTATACCATAGAGGTAACTCTAAGACCAGAAGGTCCCGAAGAAACGAGCTCAACTTTATGGCTCAGCTCTGGTACTATCTTCGGTCCCAAGCTAATCGATGCACCCCTCGAAACATTGGAAAATCCACGAACCCCTCATTTTATCTGTCAAACTTTCATAGCGAATCAAAACAAACATAGTGTACACGGTAAGAAAAAAGTACCCAAAATTGAGTTCCTTTCACTCATCACGTGGCTTCCGTGGGGCTAGGTAAAATTAAGTTAAAGAAGAAAACTCAATTTTGAGTAATCCTGGCGTTGACCAAGTTGACAAAAAAAATAATAAAACGGAGCAGACTGGAACCGAACCATGGACGTTGAGATTACGGGGCCCGTGGGTTGACCACTCGTCTATCAACGCTTGTGAAAATGAAATGGTTAAAGGCGCATAAAAGCAACCTCAATGAGAATAAACTTATATTTGAGTTCATTTATTATTACTCAATAGTTGAGTAAATTTTAACCAACGCCGCTTTTCTGATTCACTCAACGGCGGACCTCAAATGATAGAACCCAACGTTGAGTTTTTTTAACTTAATTTTGAGTATTTTTTCTTACCGTGTAGTACTGGAATTTATACTAGAATGGGGTACGTTAATCGATTTGCTTGGGACCAATAGGCTAGTCAAGTAGTGAACCAATTTAAAATCGTTAGTTTCGAATTGATTGTTGCTTATACTTCACATTTAGACATACTAAGACCAGATAATTTCCAGGGGCTAAGTCCTAAGTGTTTTTGGGGCAAGATTGGATACTCAAGGACATGTCTAGAGGATATCATGGGTAAGCTTAGAGAGTCGTTTTCTTATTAATTCCTTTATTTAACGTCGGTCTATGTTCCGCAATTTAGTGCTTATCACCGATGGACTTCGATTGCCATCCATTGGTGACAATCGAATGTGTAGGAACACAGCTTCCACACCTGTGTAGGATATCGCGCACTCATCAACACACATGGGCTGAAGACCAACGGCTTTAAAGTCTGGTCCACTTAGGATCCTTTAAGAAACTTTATTTATTCTATAGCAGTTGTCGGATTATGAATGTTTTGACAACGATTTGTTTTGAAAGTACACGTGTTTCAGTGGTGAAAGTTTTGTCTCGATACCTACGAGCAGTATTAAAAAAGTTGTACTAAATAGATGGAAGACGAGAAAAGAAAATTGATCCCGACGTAGTCAATTCGAAATATCGCGAAAATGTTGAAAATTACCGTTTATATCGTTGGAGATGTTCTCAAGCGGTTCCGTGATTGTAAGAGTGTGGCCCGGTAGGTTCAAAGCAAACGTCGTGCTGGAACTTCGGATCGGCAGCTGAACTGGAAGTTGTTTAGGTCGATCAAGAGAAACCCAGATCGGAATGTCGCCAAAAAATACGGTGCCAGTGCTGCAAAATCTCGACAATACATGGTGATACTAAAAATTCGGTCACTCATTTGAGCTAACAGTCATCGTCGAGGCAAACCATGCAAATTGTCAGTGACAATGCTGTCAGTGACGAACATGTGCAGATTTTTTTATTAGCTAAATTTGCAACGAAATAATTTATATGAACAAAAAAAATACATGGAACCGTTTAAGTGAACAAGCATCTACGTCCTGAACTGCTTGGATAATGGGACACAGAATGCACGAAAGTAAACGTTTTGTTGCCAGGTGAATCTTTGTCATTGACGAAAAAATGAATGAGATTTTGACAAAGGTTTTTTTGAGAATCAATTTTATCAGTGACTACGTGATAAACAATTTTGTCAATATCGCGCGAAAGTCTATCAATGACAATGACAAATCTCAGCACTGGTGCCAGCCATAGTACTGTCCGGAGGATCCGCCTGTGAGTAGGTTACCGTTCATTCCGTGCCTCCAAGCAACCGAACAGATCGATGAAGCAGAATTTAGTAGCTAGAACACGAAATCTATGTTAAGAAGGATTTCAGGCAGGTTCCCGGACACAAGTTCTATCTGGCCACAGCACGGGGTGCTATCCCCAGCAATTTCAAGTTTGTTTTCGTCGATTCGCCCGGAAACTGAAAAAATGGCCGCTGATGACCAGATCAGTGTGTGGTAGATAATGGCAGGTATTCCAAAGAAAGTCCGCTAGTTCATCCGAACGGAGTAATTTTGTAATTTTTTTATGAAAGTACAATAACTGGACTAAATTGCATTTTGCACGTCAATTTAATCCCGAGAAACACCTGGTTTTACGTGTCCAGATTCTAAGTTGACCAGACTTTACTTCCCTTCCGAAGGAAGACGTGACCTGGGATTTTTATGACTCAGAATAATCCCACCGACCTCGGCTGTGATTGAACCCATACAGTGAATAGCAGTCACGCTTAGAGAGTCAGAGCAAGTTCATATCA